AAAATCTACTTGAGTACAGTAACAAAGTATTTGTACTTCATTACTTCCCATCTCTGAAGCAGGGACACATAAAAAAGGTGAAGGACGGGAGTTTGTATAGATCTTAACCTCTGAACACATAAATCTACTCTTAATCTGCTGTCCTGATTCTGGCATAAGGCTGATTTATACTTCGAAATTAGGTGAACGCAGAGACGTCCCCGCCCCGTCCCGCAGACACTCTGCTGCACCTCTCCCAAAGTGTAGGTGACCGCAGACAGGAGGCCTCTGATTGGTCAAATCTACATTTGCACTACACTATGCGTCTCCTGTTAGGAACCTTACTGGCTTGTTTTGTTTGAATGACCGCCATTGTGGAAAACGACTCGTGAAGATGGACTAGCTAGAAGAGCGAGGTGCGCGAGAACGCTGGGACCTTTTTTCCACCTGGATCCCTGCTCTTTTTTGCCCTCATGTCCCTCCATTGTCGCACAAACTTGCCCCCACTTCCTCACCGCCTTGGCCGTATCTAGACCCACAGCTATTTCGTGATTTTCCCCTTTTGCGTTGTGGTGTGGAATAAACATAGCACAGACCACAATTCAATATTGGCCATAAATCGAAAATGTCTGCATCATACCTGCGACAAGCTCACTGCGACAATGCTGCAGGAGTATAACCAGCCCTATAGTCCTACACAGCTGCAGCTAGCTTAGCCACAGCATAGCAATGCAATGACATGAATAGACCAATAGCTGAAAAAAGCATGTTTATATGCCCCCTTGCATAATGTGTAATGAAGTGCCCCCTTGGGAGCCAAAACGTGTTAGAGTGCCCCTTTGAGAGCCACAATGCGTGTTAAAATATCTTCTACAGTGATGAGGATGTGCCATATATAGCTTTTTTTCTTTTCGCCTCTGCCCTTCAAAAAGTCTGTGCATGCCCATAAATTGGTTTGTGATGTCACAATTCTATCCCCTATAAAGATAATTATTAAGGGTTCTTTGTGTGGCCCCCATCTGTTCAGCTAAGGGTTGATTCACAACTGTCCGCTTGTTTGGTCCAGACCAACAGCAGACAATTTTTTGTTGTTCAGTTTAGTTCTCTTTAAGTAACTTACTAAAAAGCATTGTGTCTGACAGCCTTTGCTCCCAATGGACACAAATTGTGAAAAACTACTATGGGAGGCCTTAATGCAACATTCTTGTGCTATTTTTACAGCTGTTACATCATATCCAAGGTAGGAAATCCGTCCTTTAAATAAAAGAAATGCCTTATGTGCTTTTTTAGCATTTGCTCACAGATTCTGGTTTTTCTTTGCACTTTAACTCAGCTTATTGGAATCTTTCTCTAAATTAGCTGTTTAGGCCTGAATCAAACATTGTTCAAGATATCAGAAATATTTTCACAATCCAACATAGATTTTTTTTGGACAATTTTTGATGATTTTTTCACTTGTGCTTGTACATCACTGTTTGAGTTCCACTGTGTACAATGTGCCTGTTTGAAATTGCACCCATAAACTGCTCTGCTATGTTCCATTTTTTCTTATGTATAAAAACAATGTTGTTGGCTTTAAACATTTTCCTTTTTTCGTGATTTTACAAAGAACAAACGTATTTGCCTTTAAAAGGGGTTTTCCCTATAAATCTTCACTGGATTCATGTACAATGTACAACCATTCAAATCCAAGTGAAGTCTCTGAATCTTTTATTGGGCTGTATTTAGCATTTTGGATTTTGGTATTTTGAATATTTCTTGAGTGCTTTTATTGAAGGTAAACATTTATGTATTTCAGTTCTATATCTGGAAAAGAGTTAAAAAATAAAAGCATTTTGTCTTCCTTCTCTCTGAGTTCTTATTCAATTGTTACCTAAAAAAGTCGCTGTCATCAGAAATGTTAACATTTTAGAATATTTTTGCCATTACATTTTGTAAGCATTTGGCTGTTCAGTTACAGGCAGGTGAAAAAAAAAACATTATTTTTTCACTGTTCTCTTTGTAAGACATGGTAATGTACTCGCCTCATGTGTTTTGAGTTTTATAACTGAGCCTCAACCGTTATTTGCAACATTAATGTGTTTGTCGTCGGAGGTCCATAAGGCCAAAAGCTGTCCTGATTTAGTACTGCAGTACGGATTCTACCCTGGTTAGTGTTCTTACTTTTGACCTCACAAAAGGTGCACTATTACCTGCCTTTTTGTTGACGGTAACTCCTCAAAGGCAAGTTTAAAAGAGCTTTGAAGAGAGAGTTCAAGAGGTCGTGTAAACCTTAAGAAATAAACGGATGGGGTCCACACAGTCTGCCCGAGGACGCAACACCAGGATGCAACGCAACTCTGGATGGACGCCAGGATAGTGCTTGTCTGGGGCCCATGTTGCGCAGCTGACTTAGAACTAATAACTGCAATGTGTTTCCTGCCCAGTGCTCTGAATGAAAGAGAAGCGGTTCAGGATTCCTAACTCATTTGCCATTCCGAGGGTCATTTATCAGGCTAATCAAGGCGGAGTACAAGCTCCAAACTGGTATTTGCCACCATCCACTTGCAATGGGCTATTGTATTCATGAATTCGGTGACAGCGGCGGGATTAAGCTGGACAAACTCATCCCACCGATTCAGTCGCGGGGAATATAACGGATGTCCAAGTCACCCAACTATTGGACGCGTACCCAAACAATGCACACTATTCAGCAATCTGACTGGGACAGATAGTAGGTCAAGGCCGGAGGAGATCTGGACAGTTTGCCAGTAATGGGCAAGGGGGAACCTGTCTGGGATAAAGTCACTCCTCTCATAATCCACCCAGATCAAACTGGTTTCATTAAAGGAAGGCAGTCAGCTGCTAACACACGCAGACTGCTGAATTTAATAGATTATTCCTACAGCAAAAATCTTAAATCCTATATATTGTCTTTAGATGCAGAAAAAGCATTCGATAGAGTAAACTGGAAATTTTTATTTGCTACTCTACATAAATTTGGTTTTGGCAATTTCTTTTATAAATTGGTTAAAAATATTATACACCTTCCCAACAGCCTGTGTCAGGACAAATAATCAAACATCTTCCAGCTTTTGTCTCCAGAGGGTCACCAGACAGGGATGCCTGCTCTCCCCCTCACTTTTTGCTATTTTCATTGAGCCTCTGGCTGCTACAGTCAGACAAACTAATGTGGTTAAAGGTATAAAAGGCATGAAAATAGAGCATAAAATTAGTCTTTACGCAGATGATGAATTACTTTATCTCTAGCACTCAAACACTTGCCTTTCTCAAGTGATTAGTTTACTAGAATCTTTCTCAAAAGTCTCAGAGCCAAAGTATTACTTCACATAGTGTTCGACATTTTAGGGATGAAAATGCTTCTTGGAAGAGCTGTCATAAAATACAACTTTAGTCTCATAATTTTACGACTTTATTCTCCTAATATGACGACTTCATTCTCCTGATATGACGACTTTATTCTTGTAACTTTATGACTATTCTCGTTGCGACTTTATTCTCGTAATTGTATGACTTTCTTCTTGTAATTTTACGACTTTATTCTCATAATTTTAATACTTTATTCTCGTAATTTTACGACTTTATTCTCATAATTTTAATACTTTATTCTCGTAATTTTAAGACTTTACAAACGTCATTTTACTATTATTCCAATTGTGACTTTATTTATGTAAATTTACGACTTCATTCTGGAAATAGAAGAAAAAAATGTCTTCCCTGGCCATAAAACTTCGTCCTTCTTTTTATATGCTTTGTTGGACGGAGAAATCAAAGTTAAAAAAAATATATATAAAAATCTTCCAGTTGAGCCAATATATCAGCAGGGGGCGGTAGAGCACCGTTAAAGCGTTAAGCTTCAACTCATGTTGTACCGAAGAAGCTGTAGTAGTAAACAAAGCAGACAGGAGAGGTTATTTAACCTGGAAGGGTGAACCACGGTGAGTCCAGTGATGAAGGAAGGTTCGGCCGAGCCGTCGAAAGCGGACTCTCTGCGGGGATTTGTCACCGAGAGGCTCGCCGCAGCTTCCCGGGAGATCCTGGCGGCGGTAGAGACGGTGGTAACCGCCTATGAAGAGGAGGCCTCCGGCCTCCGCCTGGAAATCCTCTGGCAGCGAAGGCAGCTGGAGCTGCTGCAGGGCACCGTCACTGTCGGAACCGAAGGTTCGGGTCTCACACTCAACTCATTCACAGTGACATTTCAAAGAGCGCTGGGCTGCATGCAGAAGTCCATTCATTTACCCAGCTAGTTTAACTCTTTCATTCATTAACACGTTATTTTACAATTAGAAAAAAAATGACGAAATGTTATATTTAAAGGCTTTTAGCCATTCTTTAATTCGGTTGTTTTACCATGTCCATTTTTAATGGATTACATTTTTTTCTGACGTATTTTTAGGTTTACCGACCAACAGAAGCCATGGTGATGGTCTGAAGGGTCAGGATCCAACTGCTTCATCAAGGTTCCTGCTGCTGCTGTTCAATAGTTATCAACATGTCAGTACTAGATAACCGGTTTAACCTATTTTCATAAATCTTCTGTTTCTTTGTTTAAATGTTTCAGCTCCTTCTCCCATCAGTCCCAGTCAGATGGAAGGAAGTCTGGCAGTGAAGCACAGGACACCATAGATCTCAGCATCTGCATCCTGAACGACTCTAAGATCAGCTTTCTTTCTAAAAACGGTGCCTTTCCTCTCTGATCGGCTTCTTTCACACAGGAAAAAACAAATATTTAAAATGGTGAATAAAGGGCTGGTATACTTTTAATTTTTCAATACAAAGTTAATAACTTGCAATATTTTACATGTGTAAATACCAGCCTAGTAAACTAGCCCCACCCTCCAGCAGCCAAAATAATTTTTGCCTGCGAGTGGTCTAGCCTCGATCAATTCTCCAGGCCCTAGAACTGGCGGGCCAATCACAATGCAGAGATGTGTTTTGAATGTCTGGATGCAAAGTGGGCGGGGTTTTGAGGGCGTTACGACAAAGCTGCACGACGCTGGAGAAAGCGTCAGCTTTGGAATCAGTTTCGGAAGGATTAGACTTGGAAGAGGATCTACGCTCATTAATTTTTGAGAAGGATGTATAGGCTACGCCGTTTTACCGACAGGCTGTTTGTTTACACTCCCCCACCAGCTTCCTGTCGCGCTTCCTACGTCACAGTCAGTTGCTCTCATTGGTCAGAGCGTTGGCCAATAGGCACAGAAATGGTTTCCGATGTCTCATTCATCGGGGCCAGACTAAATCACACCTTTAATCTCACATTTAGTCTGGTTTATCAGGCTATGTAAAAACAATGTTTCCTATACTTTTTGAACCATGAGTGGAATCAATACAATTTTCCTTTACAAACCTGACGTGCTGCAAAGTTGTTTATGATTTAACAGTCAGAATCTCTTGTAATAAAGCAAGCACATACAGGAATATATTATTCGGTTACAAAGTCAGTATACAAACGTAAGATTAAATGTATGCTGAGCAAAGGTGGAGACCAGGTGGAGGTGATGGAAGCTAAGGTCAGGAGCAGTTGCAGGAGCAGGCTGGGACGGAGATGCAGGATCCGGTGATTGGCTGAGCAGGTGAGATGAAGACAGTTATAGTTCACACATTGGTTTAATTTATGTATCCAGTGACTCCACGCAGCAGTGTGTCGCAATGAGCTTGTCTCAGATATTTTCATTTATGCCCAATATTTAAGCATCTTCTTTGTTATTCCACGCCACAACGTAAGAGGGACAATCAGGAAGTAGCTGTGGGTCTAGATACGGACGAGGCGGTGAGGAAGTGGGGGCAAGTTTGTGTGACAACCGAGGAACATGAAGGTGAAAAAGAGCGAGGTTCCAGGTGGAAAAAGGGTCCCTCACCTCGCTCTTCTAGCTGGTCCATTTTCATGAGTCTTTTCCACAATGGCGGTCATTCAAACAAAACAAGCTGGTAAGGTACCAAACAGGAAATACGCATAGTGTAGAGCGGATGCAGATTTGACCAATCAGAGGCCTCCTGTCTGCAGCTCTCTCTGCGGTCACCTCCTCTCGTAATTTTTGTAGAGATGCACCAGAAGGTCTGTGGAAGGACCTGGTTTCGATGTATAAATCAGCCTTAACTGTTGAATTGGGAGAACATTTATATTTTCAGCTGTTTTAAAGGTATTGTGGAAGATTTTTGCAATAAAAAATAAAGGTCTGCCCACCCCTCGCCTGCACAAGCCCATTTCCCTTCGTGCACGCTCTGTTTAAAAGTTGCTGTTCTCATAGCTCATACAAACTTACTGTGCCCGAGCGTCCGCTCTAACCCCTAAATCCCTCAATCACTATATAGATCGGGGACTATATAGTGGACTTTATGGTGAACTCAGTTAAATGAATTAAATAAATAAATAAGTTAATTTTAATTTATTTATTTGTACATTAAAAAGCATTCCTGCAAATGCACCAAGTTTAGCCAAAAGGCTATTTTTCATCTGATGTTCCTGAACAGATCTTAAAATTGTCTACCTAAAAAAAAAAAACACAACAGTAAGCATGCTACAATGTAAAAAACAAATATAAAAAGAAATAAAAACAGCTATAACTCCTCAAAACTGATTTAAAAATACAGAATAAGTGTTTGCTGGACTACAGAGGTTCATAAAATAGAATAAAACATTTAAACTATGTATATATTGTTTAATGAGGAAGTTATGTCCCCTAAAAAGGCAGTTGCGCCTCAGGAATTCCCCACCGGTTCTTTTCCTGGGAGCAAGTTCTTTACTACTCTTAACTCAAACTGGGTAAAACCATATAAAAAGGACTATAAAACAGGAGTAAAAAAGTAATACAGTTTATTCCAGATCAGGTCGTTATAGGACAGAGAAAAATGCTTAGAGCTTGCACAGCTGTGGGCTCAAAAATCACGTCCGCGAGCGTCCGGCAAAGATTGAGCCCCGAACAAGGTCACCTCCTGCTTCTTATACCTTATGAGTCTATGTGTTGCACCAGGTGGATGTTTAGCTGTCCATATCAGAAACTGCCCTGACCTGTATGCATCTTGCCTCTATGCCCAAGATTACAGATAGCTCTCCTCTATCAGACCGGCTCCAAGATGTGCCCATATCCTGTGTATCTTTAAAAGGCAAGAAGGCTGCCCTGATTAGATGACCTCCGTACACACAGTGACATCCACAATGTGAAGGAAGGCCATCTACTCTGTCTAATCTGGCTAACAGAATAGCAATGCACATGATGTATAAAGAATAAATCTAACAATATAAATATATACACATACATTTATATAAATACATACATACAGTTGTTTAGACAGATGATCACTGTTTTTTTACTCCCCGTTTGTCACGTAACTCCACCAGGAAGACAGTGCTGGTTTCCTCTGTCTTCCTGGTGCAGTTTGTTCACTAATGTCCTCAATCGTGCTTTAAAGGGCTTCACGGAATAGCTGCATTTATACTGG